GGTGTTTTTGTGGTGGTGCTGTGGGTTGTGTTTGGGGGGGGGGGGGGGTTGTCGTGCGTGGGGAGATTGAGGGACGCCGCCGAGCAGCGGGGACACCCATCCACGCGAAAGGTACAGGGACGTGAAAGAGATTACGGGTTGTAGACTTGCGGGGAGACAGAACGTTAATGAAACAAGAGGCGAGTAGGGTGAGGATCGTCGTGACCACTACAGCGACAGCTGCCACCTCCGACGGCCGGACCTACAACAACAACAACAACAACAAGAGCAGCCACAACAACAACAACAGCAATACAGCAGCAGCACCGCCACCACCACCGCGGAGCAGGAGCAGCACTAACGACCACCGTCCCCGCCGCCGGGGGTATCCAAAACCTCAATTGCCCATTATGCCCATTATGCCCATTTTCTAGGCCTGAAACAGACTCAATAATAAGCCCAGTATCCAGCCGGTTCCCTCCACTCACCGTTAAGACTTCAGTACATCCCCTTCAACTGTGGTTAAGTCTCGAACGGGCGGTGTCTGTCTCTGTGATTGGATGAAAAAAAAAAACTCGTGAAGTCACCTCGGGTCGGCTAGCCTTGGCAACCGCGGCGCACGCCTCCATCCTCTCCGCCGACGGCGCTGTCTTTACCAGCGCCCCCAACACCCGCACCATAACGCCTTCCAAGCGAGTGGGGACGGCGGCAGATACCGCCTGAGAGGTAGGTACCTCGTACCCCTCCTGCTCCCGTGGTCTGTGTAGGCGGGTGGTTGCAAAGCGCGCGAGAGAGTGTAAGGTTGACGCTAAGTAGATACAAAGATAGACAGCGGCGTGGTTAGAAGAGTTTGTGTCGGCAGGAATCGACAGCGGTGCGCGCAAAGCCTGTGGCATCAGCAAAGGCTCGATTCTACGTAGTAGTAGTAGTAGTAGTAGTGAAAATCGCGACCGAAAAATATCTCAACAATGCCCCTGCCAAACATCCTGCGGTAGAGTCAAGCAAGCGTGCGAGGTTGCAAGGGAGCTGGAACAGAGACAAGAGAGCAGGACGGACACACAAACAACCCTCCACCTCATGCGGCAGGAATACGCGAGGCCCGCACAACAAATTATTCCCTCGGGCACAGGGAGCAAACAGCCGACAAACAAACCTGACGTTCTCCGCAAGCGGCGGCCTGCCAACAGAAGCCGAAAAAGGAAATAAGGATCCCAGAAAAAAAAAAAAAGCGTCAAACCGTACTAATCAAGCCCCCCCAGCAAAGCGCGTGATAACCAGACAGAACACCGAACAAGGCCGGGGGCCCAAAAGCCCTAGATATCTATGGAGGAGATAATTTCCAAGTAAGAAAAAATGAAATCCTTACCGCTCCAGGAGATCATCGCCGCTCGCCCCGCCGCTCCCGCCTGCGGCGGCGGCGGACGCGAAGGAGCGGACGTCATTGGCGATGGTGCCCACGGAGGAAGCCGAGAGCACCGCCGACATCCTCTCCTCGAGGCCCATGTTCTCCCACGCGGCGAGGGTGACGGAGGGGCTTACGCTACCGGCGTACACCTGTAGGAGCGGGGTTGGTTGGTCGACAAGCACGCGAAATCCAACAACGTACACAATGTTAAAATCACACACACACGAGAACGCGGCGTAATTGGCCGGCAAGCATCAAACCCAACGACTTACGCACCATGAAACCCACACCCACACAGAAGCGCGGCGTTATTTCGCCGACAACCACGCGAAATCCAACGTGCACGTTAATATTAAACACACGCGAATACGCGGCGTAAATGGCCTGGACTCAAAGATGCTGGCAGCAGATATATTGTTTTGTTCTGTTCCTCTTGTAGGAAATATGAAACGAAAGGAAAACACACACACACACACGCAAAGCGCGGCGAAATAATCATGGACTCATTGCTGCTGGCAGCAGAGATGACGTTCTACTCTTGCTGTGCAAAAAGCGAAATGAATATTAAAACACGTACACACAAAGCGCGGCGTGGGACAACAACATCCCGATTGGCTGTTAGCGCACACAGGCAACGCGGAACGAACAGCATAAGCCTCTCATTTTCACGCGGCCAAACTGAACCACGAGCCACACCACACCACACCACACCACACCACACCACACGGTGCCAGCGAACGTCTTCGCTGTAGACACAACCAGGCCGGATGCAAACCACTACATGCTTCCTTCCCGCCAAAAAACGGGCAAAAAAGTACGCGTTCTTAATCAGCGCTCACACACAGCATCCACAGCATTACTTCTGCCGGGTAGGAGGTAGCTCCGCCCCGTGCTCAGTCACACAGAAGGGATAGGGTTCCTCTCCCTGAGCCCCCCTACCCACCCTCCTGCGGTGCATGCTCTACGACCCCAACCAACAAAAAGGTACCCTCGGCTTTGTAGGGATGCGGGCCCTAACGACCATGGCAAGCATTTTCGAGCTGTGAGTACAAACTATTTCGGGCTCCCTTCTCACCAGAGACGTCAAGTGCTGCAGCAAGCGATCAAGCCGCACCAGCTGCCCTTCCGTCACATCACCCCCCCGCCCCCCGGAGGAGGAGGAGGAGACAACAACACGCCGTGCGCCGAAGCGGCAAAGGGTCGCCGCATGCCGCAGCTGCCCCGCCCGGGCGTCGAGCTCGCGGGCGCGGCCGGCGTACCAGGCGGCGAGCGCGGCAGAGTCCCGCTGCCGCTCCGCCGCCGTCGCTATCTGGTCGGCGTCGCTCGCTCCCGGCGCTTCGACAAAAAGCACGTCCTTCTGGTCAATGGAACCGCCATCATCCTTGTCGGAAGAAGCGGCGGTGCCGTTGACATCTGCTTCACAGAGTGGCGTTGGCGGGCGCTCATTGGCTGACAAGAACACGAGCACACAGTCATGGGCATCGGAAACTCATTGACATGTCCCCAACCAATCGGCAGTCATGGGCATCGGACACTCCTTAACTGACATGTACACAAATACACATCCATGGACCATCAGGCACTCGTTGACATGCCCACAGCCACACGGCGGTCATGGGCGGCATATGGCCATGCGCTTACCCGCGGGATGTCGTACGACGGGCACATACATCCATATTTCATGTCAAGGATGTGTCCATACAGTATTTCGGTGTTGGCATCATGGACAACGTGCGGGCAATCAAGTATCTGGGACCCACGTTAGGTAGTACCAGCATCCTACCAGTACCTCTTGCGTAGATAGCACTTTTGTATGCAGGCATTTAGGCGGAACTAGGCCAGTAGTCACGAAGCTTCTTTAGAAAATGTACGTACAATCATCAAAGAAAGACTATTCCTATACCGGTGGAATAAACTACGTATAAAGGCCATACCCGTTCCAAAAAGGCTACGCCCGTCACAGAAAGACTACACCCGTTACAGAAAGACAATACCCGTCAAAGAAAGACTACACCCGTTAACGAAAGACTGCGCCCGTTACAGAAAGACAATACCCGTCAAAGGAAGACTACACCCGTTAACGAAAGATTGCACCCGTTAAAGAAAGACCGGTATACCCCTCCGAGGAACAACCACATCGGGAGTCGAAGGGGACGGATAGAAGCCTCTACAGCGAGTGACGCCTTCGTTCCGACCAACGCTTCAACACCGCCGTAGCCGAAGCCGAAGCCGAGACCGCGGGGACAGCAGTAGTTGCCTGCCGTCGACAACCCGGTCACGTCGCGTGAGCACCCATCGCACGCTGCTTGCTGCCTATGGTCTGCACAAACCCTCGCACCTGATCGGCCGCCCAAAACCGGCGCGTCACGACCCTGCACCGCCATCGTCATCATCATCATCACTGTCGGCGCTTCCGCCCTGTTTTCACGGCTCCGCGGCCTTGTCCTTGGCACCGGAAACGCCTCGGCTGACGGAACTCCTTCCCCGGCTCCCGCCGCAGTCTCTCTCGCGCGAAAGAAGAGCGGGAAGGGCGGCGGTGTCGCCCCGGCGGAAGAATGGACGCCAGCGGCGGAAGCGGAGGCGGTGAGGGCTACTGCCCCGCAGCACGGCAGGAGGCTTGCGTACAACCTCGGGTCAAGGGTTTCTGGAAGGGCACTGGCAGATGGTAATAGTATGCAGGGGGGGGAGGGGAGGGGGGGTACCTGACGTGCGCGTTCGTATCTTAGGAATGCAACGTACAATTACACTGAAACTTTACTTGACTGCAGTAAGTGTGGAAGAAACTCTGCTGGATACACTTGTAGGGGGAGGGTACCGGAAGTGTGTGTTCGTTTTCTCATAAAAGAGTTATAGTTACCTGTTTGAGATGTACCGTGTTGGGGTGCTTGATGGTGAGTGGAGAAAGCCCGGCCGGATACAGTGGACGTACTTTTGGCGTCTGCCTCTTAAGCCATTCTAAAGCAGAGCGTCGTCGTTCGTGGCACGGCATCAACAACATCATCATCACAACCAGCACCGATATTGAAAAAAAGAATAACCGACATCGACATCAAGATCATTTAGCAATCAACATCGGCATCAAGATCACGATCAGCGTCGACATCACAACCAGCACCAGCATCAACATCAGCGAGACACCGAACAACCTATTGCTCTCTTTTTCGCTCGCGCGCAACCACAACAAAAAACTCCCCAAACAAACCCCAACACGCCGTCCACACACAGCGGAGTCGCTGCAAACCATACCCCCGTCCCATGGGACCCGCACTCTTCCAGACTCGACAAACACCCGCGCCAGGCACATCACAACACAGCAGTGCCCACCTCAGCGCCTCCAGCCTAGCCGGCAGCGTCTCCAGCGGGTGTCTCTCCATCAGCACCCCCACCGCCGACGCCTTCCCCTTGCGCGCAAACCCCATCAACGATCTCCGGAGATTGTCTCTCCTGTACGGGAAGTCCTCCCACGCTCTCTCTTCGGCACCACCGTCTCCCGACCCTGCTTGGAAATAGAGAGCAATATTTGTAGGGGGGGGGGGGGGGGGATGCATCGGACCACCACGACGATGCGGCGCGGGGATGTAAGTACATCAGCTGACTCGCTTGATGTGGCCGTAGTACAGCATAGTCCAAAAAACGGACGACAAAAAACAATATCTCCTCCTGCACGCTACGACGGCGCCTGGTCTCACCGAGACCCAAGAACTCCCGCAGTCCGCCCACGTCGAAACCGCGCCCTTGCTCCCCTTCCAGGGCCAGGAACGTGTCCAACAGGTACCGCAGGGACATCAGTCGCGCGCGCAGCCGCCGCACCTCGCTGTCCCCCTCATCGCCCGCGGATCCAAGCCCTACCGCCGTCACCGCGCCACCGCCACTACCCCTACCGCCACCGCTTCCGCCAGCAGCACCGCCACCTCCAGCCAGTACTATCGACGACCCGTGCTCCACTGCCGCCGCCCCCGGCGCAGCCGTCGCCGCCCTCGGTGCATCTCCCAAGTCTCCATCATCATCAGCATCGTCGTCGAAGTCCCACCCATCCCCGCCGCTCGCCGTCACACTTTCTTCTGCCGGGCCCCCGCCTCCGACGGCGGCCGCGGACCGTTCGTCCGAGGAGGACCCCCACCCCGTGCTGTGAGCGGGGAGGAGAAAATCGCACCTGCGGAGCCCCTCTGCGAGGATAGCTGCCGCCGCGGACTCCGTTGCAGCCAAACCGATACCTGCCAGCGCCTCTTTTACGACCCACCTGGATTTCGAAAGGTTGGGGGCGATGCTCTTCAATATTAGATGATTTGGGGGAGGGGGGGGGGGCGATTTTCTTCATAGTTAATGTGTTTGTGTTTGGGGGGGGGGGGGGGGGCCTTTTTGCCTTCCCTTGACCCTGGGTCCCCCCCAAAGGACGGAACAGGGATAAAAAGGAAAACTTTTTTCGGCCCCTTTTTTTGAACATCCAAAAAGGGAACCCGGAAATTTTTCCCCGCCCTGTGGGGGGGTTTTTGTTTTTCCCAAAAAAACGGCCCCCATTTGTCTAATGGTTTAAGTCCCGGACAATAAAAAAACATTTTTTTTCCCAAGGGGGGGAAACAAAAAACCCCCCGAAGCTTTTTTTGTGGGATGTAAATTTTTTTTAAAAAACCCCCCCCTTTGGTTCCAAAACCCCGCGAGAATCTTTTGGGAATTCTCCTCCAAAAAAAAACCTTTTTTTAACCCCCCGGGCC